CTTCCCTTCTAATCCATCTCCTGAAGCCTTTCTTCTGAAACAGGCAAATCACTAACCCCCACGCGTTCGACAGGAAACACGTCGATTGGCTCTGTGATGAAGGAACACGAGTACGCGCACATCCTCCCTCGACCCCATCTCCCTCATCCGAGCACCCCTGAAATAACACCTCGGGCATAGGTTGGATGCGACTACGCCGGCGTCGTCGAAGAAGTCGGCAGCAAGGTCACAAAGCCTTTCAGCAAAGGTGACCGGGTAGCAGGCTTCGCCCACGGAGGCAATGTCGTCTACAAGGAAGACGGCGCATTCGGCGAGTACATCACCGCCAAAGGAGACCTCCAGATCAAGATCCCAGACAACCTGAGCTTTGAAGAGGCGTCCACGCTCGGCGTCGGCGTCACGACGGTCGGACAAGGACTGTACCAGAGCCTGAAGTTGCCTTTGCCGGACAAGCCTACAAGCGAGAAGACCTACCTTCTGATCTACGGGGGCTCGACAGCGACGGGGTCTCTGGCGATCCAATTCGCGAAGCTTTCCGGGCTCACGGTCGCCGTAACGTGCTCCCCGAGAAACTTTGACTACTGCAAGAGTCTTGGAGCTGGTACGTTCTTTCTTGATTTCCACCCATCTGCCCGGTTATCGATATCCCCCCCCCCCCGCTCTACCAATTCTTCCAGGAGTCCAGCTTGCTAACCTCCACTCCCCCGCCTTACAGACGCGGCATTCGACTATAACTCCCCGACCTGCGCGAAAGACATCCAAGAGTGGAGCCAGGACAGTATTGTTCACGTCTTCGACTGCATCTCCGAGGGCGACAGCCCCAAGATCGCAGTAGCCGCCATGTCCACCACCACCGGCGGCGTCTACAGCACCCTCCTCCCCGTCCCGGAGGAAGAGGTCAAGGCCCTGAACGCCAAGGTCGAGTACAGGTCCACGCTCGGCTACACCGTCATTGGCGAGTCCTTTCGCTTCGGACCAAACGAGGTTCCGGCCCGGCCCGCGGATCTCGAGTTCGGCAAGATGTTCTGGGAGGTGGCGAGGGCGCTGCTGGAGCAGGGGAAGGTTAAGGTGCACCGGCCGAGCGTGAACAAGTTCGGCAAGGGCTTCGAGGGCATTTTGAAAGGCATGGACGAGATGAGACAGGGGAAAGTGAGTGGTGAGAAGCTCGTGTTCACTCTGTGAGATGGAAGAAAAACAGAGTTCGCCTAGAAGGTAAATATATCCATAAATGTTACAAGATGAAGTAGATTGAATTCACAAAAAAGAAAACCAAGCGACGTATTATATGTATATAAAGGGCCGCAATACACAAATCCATCTCGGGATCTGTTTGCTACTGCTTCTTGCCTAACACGGCGGTCCTTTCGCTCTGGGTGTTATTTCTCATAATGCGTACATCTCTCTCTACATACACACAAGAACAGGAAATTACCCTCTCGGAAATAACAACCAAATCCATTACCAGAAAGAAAAAAGAATATATATATAATAAATATATCATCTCCCATCCAACCAACAACCGACACC